AGTTGAGATGCAGAGAAGGTCTTGTAAAGCTGCAACTTCCAGGGTTCCACAGCATTTAGCCTTGACAATTCAAGTGGTATTGAACTGCATTCTACAGTGTAGACGCACTCTGTGTTTCCCCATAATCAGAAATGAACTCTCAAGCAAATCTCTGAGCTCAGAATTTTTTTTAGTATTGTCTAGTCTTTAGTCTTAAGCAGAACCTGCAAGACTAGTTTTAAAAAGGATCTCCAGCCATGAAATCAGCACACTGTGTATAGATCTGCTCTATAAATAATTTATGTTCCAAATGCAAAGAAGGAGCCATCTATGAGCCTGGAGGCAGAATTATTGATCTGGAAGAGAGGGTTACTTATTTGGTTATATCTATCCATTGCATTTAGAGGGAATGATATTTCTCATAGGAGTTGGAAGAGACCACAAGGGCTATTCAGTCCAATCTTGTGCCCTATATTCATAATCAAAGCATTTCTGACAGATGACCATCCAGCCACTGTTTAAAAAATTCCAAAGACTTCTAAACTTCCCCTGCACACCAAAGCAGCAAAATTAATTTTGTTCCTTCTGTTTTTGTAGAAATTGATGTTTTGATGGTAGGCTGATGCACTATGTAACAAAACTTGAAAAGAAATTGTTCCTGATTTGAAAGTGTTATTTTCTGATAGTTTGATACTTACTTTGATAGTAGTTGTTATACTCCAGAAACTGTTTTTGTGGCTGCCACAAACTGTGTTGAATTGACTCAATGAGACATTAATTGAAAAACTATAACAAAATGTGCTGCAGAATGTCCCGCAAAAACCAAAGTTTTTGTAGTTTAATAAACTTTTTCTGTGTTTTTATGATAGAAACAATTAGAAAATGACATTTATAACTCAGGAACAAAAATCGTGTTACGTAGTGTTGTCAATAGCAAGAGTTGTCAACAATTGCTGCTGGCAATGGATTAATGGTGCTATTTTTGGCTTTGAATTAATTTCTGTTTTCATTTTTTTTCAAATGGCTGAAAGGAAGACTGAAATTTTATTTTTTTCACTTTAATAATAAAATTGCGTAAATGTAGAGGAGAACCAATGAATCAATCTATCTCACATTAGTATTGATTTACTATGTTCTTATAGAGTACTCCAATTGGGAATGATAGAAACACTGGATTAATTACTATTTTTATTGAGAATGTGCTGTCTCTTGGCACTTTTGGATATTAAACTAATGTTTCTGAATTTTTGGCATTAGTAGACATTTGGATTCAGTACCTTAGTTGTTTCCTTTGATATTCATACAAGAGCAGGATCTACATTGCTATATAAAATCCAGATTATCTGCTTTGAACTGGATTATATTATATGGCAGTTTAGACCTATATAATCCAGTTCAAATAAAATAATGTGGATTATCTGTGTTGAACCTCTGGATTATATGGCAGTGTAGGAGGGGCCTAAACCCAGAGTAGAATCTCTGCCCAACTGTCTGGCGAACATCAGTTACCAAAAAGTACAAAACAGACTTGCCAAGCCTGTTTAAACATTAGCTTTTTGACTCCGCATTTATTTCCTGTGCTGGTCAATGACCGAAATAAATGTTTTGATTTGATTTGACTCCGCATTTGGATTAATTTATCCCTGCATCTTTTCAAGCCTCTTCTAAACTGCCACATAATCCAGATTCTCAAAGCAGATAAGCCACACTATCTGCTTAGAACTGGATTATATGAGTCTATACTGCCAGATAATCCAGTTGAAATCAGATAATCTGGATTTTATATGGCAGTGTAGAAGGGGCCAAAGTCAGAAACTAAAGGAATTGCCATAACAAAACAAAAAAAAGTTTAGCATTGCATAATATCTTGTGATCTTTAACGTAATTACCAAAACTAAGAAATTAGGTTTTACTTTTTAGGAAGTGATTACTAGGTTGGACCTTGGTTTTGTTGGGTTGTTTCTTTATTATTTTGCTGAATATTGGCCATACCTTGTAATGAATTGTTTTGCCCCTTATAGTTATTGGGTGCTTTGCTTTTGTTGCAAAACCCTTTAAGGTGATTGTGGTTTTTACAAGACCATGTGCCATAATTGTATAAATCAATAAGAAATATTGCTAAGCCAGATCCCTATCATATGGGCCTGTGATAATTCTCCCTCCACACAGAAGCAGAAAAAAATTACATCCTAATTCTATTTTTTGCCTTACACAGGGGTGATACTATTGCACATGTAGCCAAAAAAGCCCTGTCGAAGCATGATTTTATAAGTCTAATTTCACCAATTTGTTAAATATTTTACCATGTGAATCTTACTCATACATTCATTTACTTAAAAGTAAGTTTCCTTAATTCCAGCAGCTCTGCTTGCAAGTGTATATTCCTAGGATTAAAAATAACAGTGCCAGGTGGCACCATAACAGCTGAAAAGTTATATTTGGCATTCACTTTTGGATACTCTCCCAAAGTGTGAGACCAGTTGGTCTCTATTTGTAATGCCTGGGTTTGTGCAACTTCTGTCCTTCCACCCACCTCTTGCCTACACATATGAGAAATTTACATCACATTCAAATGCCTTTGTGCTCTTCTTACTTTACTTAGGCGATCCCTCGTTGTCCGAGTAGGATAGTCTTCCAAGATCAGTGTACTGGTGGATCCGTAGATGACTGTGGAGCCCTATTCTTGATCTGCATTTTCTCCCACAGTGAGGGCATTGGTTTCCAGGTGGAAGGCGAGCTCGGTCGAGGTTGGCTTGACGCGCCTTCCTCTTGGCACATTTCTCTCTTTCGCCCTCCATTTGTGCCTCTTCAAATTCTATAGCACTGCTGGTCACAGCTGACCTCCAGCTGGAGCGCACAAGGGCCAGGGCTTCCCAGTTCTCAGTGGCTTTGAGTTGTGCACAGACCTCCACACATTAAAAAAATTCAAGCACAGGCGCCTTCCAAGACGTGGACTGTATACAGATGTCACATGCAACTCCTTGTGCTCTTCAGTGCCATTATGTCAAGGGATGTGAACACTTCTTTACACCTGATTTCTTCTTTCAATGTAGAAATTACTGTTATGGGTCACAAACTGGTGTCTTTTATATGTGTGAGTATAAATAAGTGGAATTGTAGCCTATTGCATGAGGAAGACATCTAACTGGGGAGGCTGGATTACATCTTATATCAAATGGGAAGGGGAAAGATACATGCTGAAATATGCATGCAACTGAAAGACACAAGTCATTCCTCTAAGGCAGTGGTTCTTAACCTGTGGATCCCCAGGTGTTTTGTCCTATGACTCCCAGAAATCCCAACCAGTTTACCAGCTGTTAGGGTTTCTGGAAGTTGATGGCCAAAACATCTGGGGACCCACAGGTTGAGAACCACTGCTCTTAGGATGTTCTCCCTGGACCCTCCACTCTTCAGTTTCAAAGATTTGACTAGATTTTCATGTCTCATACAGACAAAAATACATGTACAGCTCTTCCCATACAATCCTTGAGATCTCCATTAAAGGCCTTACTGGTTGTTCTACAACCAATGAAAACCTATTGTGGGTCATGATAAACCTGTTCCTTCTCAGTGGTGGTACCTTTCCAATGAAAAATCTTTTCCTAAAATGCAGAAATTATGTAGCATTTAAAAAGAATTAATTGAAAAGTGGTTTTTTTTTTACATTGCTCTTCTCAGGATGGAACTGCTTTCAGAGTTGTTTCTCAAAATGGTTTTAGTGTGTTTTATCTGTTCTGTGCTGCAAGCCTTTGTCCTAGGTAAAGGTTGTCTTCTGACATTAAGTCTAGTTGTGTCCAACTCTGGGGGTTGATGCTCATCTCCATTTCTAAGCCGAAGAGCCGGCATTGTCCGTAGACACCTCCAAGGTCATGTGGCCAGCATGACTGCATGGAGCAGTCATTCCCGCCAGAGCAGTACCTATTGATCTACTCATAGATGTTTGATGTTTTCGATGTTTTCGAACTGGTTTGATGTTTGATGTTTTCGAACTGGTAGGTTGGCAGAAGCTGAGGCTAACAGTGGGAGGTAACCCCACTTCCCGGATTCAAACCGCTGACCTTTTAGTCTGCAAGTTCAGCAGGTCAGCAATTTAACCTACCATGCCACCAGGGGCTCCTTTGTCCCACAGACCACTTTTATTATATCAAGAAGTACATATATTGTATGATACAAATATTGTGTACTCAGGTCTTTCAGTGTTCAATACAATACAATCCCAGTACCCATCATTTCATCAACAAAATACCAATAGGTTTTGGGACGTCATCCCTTTTTTTTTTTGGGGGGGGGGGGAGCACAATATTACAGTGGCATTTAGTCCCATTGCATTAAAAAGCAAATCGTATCATTTATCAGTACCCATCACATGATGGTGTTCCTTGTCTTTTCTCCCAAAATTATCTGTTTCCAGATTTATCACACAAGCAAGTGCAGTTAAAGCAGTCCCCATTTCTCCCCATGGGCTCTTCTGCTCTCTCTTTCAATAGTTTTTTTATGGATCACTGATTAGTTTTTAAAGGGGGAAAGAAAAGGCACGAGAAAGCACAATTTTAAAAGGTTGGAATCAAGTGAAAGCAAAGCAGCAATCTGCTGAAGTAGCACAATTTCTACTGAATACGTGTAATTTAAAAAAATATTGTGCAAGGACCACATGGGTGGATTTTGCAAGATTTCCACTGCTTTGTAGAATATCAACCATAGGAATGCCCATTTCCCCCCATGTCACAAAATAGATTCAATGTGGGGGAATCTGACAGGTCCCATCCCACATGTTTTTCAGTTTTCTCCTGTTTCATAATTGTTCCTGAGCTCAGAAGACAGTCATTAGATTTTTACTCTAAATTAACAATATTTATATTGTTGTATATACAAAATAATTTGAAATCTGTCAAAAACAACCCACTGCTGTTCCTCTGTGATAATTTTCTTTAGTCTCAGAACATATATCCTTAATGTGCTGCCTTGACTAGCCATTCCCATTCTTGTCTGTTCTAACCAACTCTGTTTCATTCCTTTCTTAGGACAAAAGTATTTGTGAAAATGGGTTATGACATTGAGCGTTTTGTGGGTTACGTAAATGAAGGACTGCTATGCTCTATCTGCCGAGATGTTTTGGAAGAGGCGCTGCAGGCTCCTTGCGAACATGCCTTCTGCACTTCCTGCATACATGGGTGGCTTGTCCATCACAGCAACTGCCCAGAGGATCGCCAGCCACTTGATCTAACTGTCCTTCGGCCGCTTTACAGGTGAGTAATAAGCAGTTGGCCTTTATGCAATCATCATACAGCATTAGTAGTTTGAGAAAGTGCAAATGCAATAGTTGTTGATGGCAGATAATTTTTCCTCTGCATATCAGTGTTCTTCACTCTTCAGCTTTCACAACCACACATAGTATTTGGAAATAGAATGAAGGAACAATCCTGACATTGGTGGTCAATCATATTGTCCCGTCTCCAGAGACAGAAGTTAGAATTTAATGCCTGTGCCTTTAAGGATATGAGAGCGGGGAGAGGAGTTCAGGCCTCAGCTGCAGAATGGCAGTTTATTCAGTTAGGCAGATCAGTTGGAACTAAGTTGTGGAAGGAAACAGAGGAATAGAAAGTCCACAGAAATTCACGTCCAGTCAGACATAAATAGTCCAGTCGGAGATAGATAGATAGATAGATAGAGTTATATAGATAAATTACTTTACTTACTTTACTTAGGCGATCCCTCGCTTTCCGAGGATGATTGTCTTTCAATATTCTTGTGGGTCCGTATGTGGCTGTGGAGCCCTATTCTTGCTCTGCATCTTCTTCCGCAGTGAGGACATTGGTTTCCAGGTGGAAGGCGGTCTCAGTCGGGGTTGGCTTGACGCGCCTTCCTCTTGGCACGTTTCTCTTTTTCGCCCTCCACTCGTGCCTCCTCAAATTCTGCAGCAGGATATATATATAGATAAAAGTTAGATATAGATAGTGACATTGTGGCCTAGATAGTAAGATAATGGTAGTCACATCTAACAGCTACATACTAAAACAACAGCAGTCACATTTTGAGTTAAGTTCGGGGCTGCAGAAGCTTATGGAATTTCCTTTTCATAAAGACTTCACAGTGGCAACTAGGGAAAGGGAAATTTAGTTGGTTTCAATAAAACATTGTTTTACTTTACATATAGCCTCCAATCTATTTTTGTGTTATAATTCCTTCCAAATCATCCTCATAGCAACACAGCGGTAGAATAAATAGAATGGACGTTGTTTTAAAAAAGGGAATTTTCAGAGATGTTCCCAATGCCTATATGTCATGATTTACTGCTACATTGGCCTGTTTTTGCAGTAGGCCCATGTTTACAGAAAATGCTGATTGTTTGAGAAATCAGTGCTCCAGAGAAGAAGTTGCTATTCAAGGATAACAATACATCCAGACAAAACCAGCTAGCTGATGGCTAGTTAGAGCCCCCAAGTTTCCCAGTTGCTCTGAAGTCATGTTTGCAACAGATTAACAGATAAGATTGATTCATTGAGACAGTCATGCTCAAAGAACAATAGACTATAGTTGTGCGCCATTGTTAGGATCCCACGTATGCTATAATGTCAATCAAAATCATAAGCAACTAATGAACAACTGTATAGCTAGCCTAGACCAATGAAATGATTTGTCTTTGGGAACCAATGAAAATGTATATTCCATTTACTATAAAAGCTCTGCAGCCCCATTGGGGGTTGCGACAAACCCTTTGATTGCATCCCTGTATGCTTGTTTGTCGTTATGGCTACGGCCACGCAATAAATAGTTTTTTGCAGTTTAAAAGATTCAACTTTTGTGGTGTCCATCCTTGCCCTCCCTATTAGAAAGGGGGCTTTTGTCTTTTTTTTTTTGGGGGGGGGGTTATATCTTTAAACCCTTAAGGATCTTGTCTAGTTCCTTTATGACTTCCCTTCTAAAGCCTAGCCTTCTGATTTCTTGACTGCACTCCTCATTTTGATTAATGACTGAGCCAAAAGTATAGAGTTCAAGAATGAATGAATGATAGTCAAGTCCTTCACTATCTCAGTATCTTCATTCTTGCTTTAAAGTTATGTGAATCATCTGCGGTCATTATTTTTGTATTCTTAGTGCTCAGTTATAAACCTGTTTTTGTACTTTCTTCCCCGAATTTCTTCAGTAGTTATTCCAAGTCTGTGCTGTTTTATACTAGTAGTATAGTGTCATCTGCATTTCATAAATGGTTGGTGTTCCTCCAGTTTTTATGCCTCATGATCTTACAGTATTGCAAGAATGAAAAGAATTCATTTCTATGCCCAGATATATGAAGAACGATCTGAATCGGCTCCAGCTTCATTGTAGAAACAGAGAATGTGGCTGTGAAATGGTGTGTTCTTTGGAATCCATCAGCCGACATGAACGCGAGTGTGAATACAGCCAGATTCCCTGCTCAAACACTGGTAGGTGTTTTACGCTGTAGAGTCCCATGTTGTGAAGTCTTAACTGCCAGAATTCTTTACTCACTCTTCTTGAAGATCCCAAGTATTCCTAGTGGTATTTCATCCAAGTACTGTCAGCTCTCCACATTGGATAGTGTTAGGGACACAGAACTCCCATTAAAGCAGTGGTTCTCAACCTGTGGGCCGCAGCCCAGCAGTGGGCCGCCAGATTGAAAATCCAGTCCGCAAATCTGCTTTTTCTTTCTTTCTTTCTTAGATTAATTTTCTTTCCGCTCCTTATTATAGAGCTAAAAAGGTACTAATGTTGGAGAGTGGGCCCTGGTGAAAGTGGGACCTGGTCAAATTGGCGCTGATCAAGGTGGCCCTGGTGAAAGTGGGCCCTGGTAAAAAAAAACATTGGGAACCAATGCGTTAAAGTAAAAAGTTGAGAATAATCTCGTCAGCTACTGGAAGCTGAACATAGAATTACATTTGAAGGCCTAGAGATTCTTGGAGAGATGTTACCTCTAGAAATCTCTAGATTGTCCAGCATGACTGACGTTGCCCATAGAGTCACACTAGAGGACCTAAATAATTCATGAATAATCACATCCACAAAAGTCAAAACTGCAAATGTGGAGGGTAAACAGTAGGAATTATACATGACTCTGCCTAGATTGTGAAAGCAAACAAGCTTGAATGTGTCCAAGATGGCATGGTAAAATCCACTAATAAAATGGGGAAGGTTTTAAAAAATATTGATCTCTATTTTTTTATTTCAGAGTATAATCCCTTTGTCTTCAATTTTTAGACGGGATATCAAGAGTTGGAATGCTGTTATTGAATAACCCATCTGAGTTCCTGTTTCTGTATTAATTCCCCTTCCTACTCAGAAGTATCCATTCCCTTCCTGATGCCAATATAGTTTGTTTCAAAGTGTTGTTTCAGTGAGGGATTACCATCCGATTTCCTCATTTTTTGCTCAGTTGAGGGAGTCCTTGCATCTTGTACACAACAGTAAGAAATGCTGAATCAGGCAAGATGGGATTTGAGATTATGTAGGACTACAGTTCCTAACATGCTGGGCTAGTGACCATGCTTTCTTGAGCTGATGGAGGTTGAAGATAAACAACAATTGGCAGGCTACATGTTCTCCATTCAGAATATATAGCAGAAACGTAGAACTGAGAATTTCTCGGAGTCCTAAGATGTTGAAAATGTAATGACTTAATGGAAAGATATTCTGTGCTGACTTTTAATAATAACACTATGTAACAAAATTTGAAAAAAATGTTCTTGGTTTTAAAGTGTTTTCCTGTTTAATTGTGTGATACTTACTTTAAAAGTAGTTGTTATACTTAGAAACTTCATTTTTTGTGGCTTCCACAAACTATGTTGCATTGGTTGAGACTCGATGAGATAATAATTTGAAATACTATAGGAAAATGTGCTTGCTGCAAGATGTCCCGGAAAAACAAAGTTTTTGCAGTTTAATAAACTTTTTTCTATGTTTTTATGATAGAACCCATTAGAAAACGACATTTATAACCCAGGAACACCAATCATGTTACATAATGTTGTATAATAACTGCTGGCATACATATAATTCTGGATTGTGAGATAGCTTTCAAAGCTTCAGTTCTTGTTTGTCCTCATGTTGACGTTGACTTGTGAACTCTGTTAGTAAAGGTAAAAGTTTTCCCCTGACATTAAGTCCAGTCTTATCCAACTCTGGGGGTTGGTGCTCATCTCCATTTCTAAGCCGAAGAACCAGCATTGTCCATAGACAACTCCAAGGTCATGTGGCCGGCATGACTGCGTGGAGTGCAGTTATCTTCCCGCTGAAGCAGTACCTATTGATCTACTCACATTTGCATGTTTTCGAACTTCTAGGTTGGCAGAAACTGGGGCTGACAGCAGAAGCTCACACCACTCCCCAGATTTGAACCTGCGACCTTTCAGTCAACAAGTTTAGCAGCTCAGTGGTTTAACCTACTGCGCCACCGGGGACTCCTGAACTCTGTTAAGGAAACACTTTAGTTAAAAAAAGAATACTTGTAACCTAGTGTGGATGATGAAATATCTTACTGTGCCTCCCTCAATCTTCTACTTTCTATTCAGGTTGCCCAGTTCAAGTTGAGCGACGCCACTTGCACAGCCACTTGGCAGTGTGTGAGTATCGGAGCCGTGAGTGCCCCAATGGCTGTGGGTATGCCATGCTCAGCACAGACAGCAGTGCACAGCACAACTGTGTTGCAGAGCTGAGGACAGAGCTAGAGCTGCTCAGGTAAACCTGACCTCCCCTGCTTTCCTGACTCCTCACATTATAAGGAACCAAGAAAGGCATGTTTGAAAGTTAACTGTAGTCCTGTGTTGTGGCTCCGCAAGAAGCAGAGAATTTTTCAGAGGATGATGTTGTATGTCAGCCTATTCAGCCTGTGATTCTGTCTGATGTTCTTGTTGTTCATGATGGGAATGGGGATGATGTTCCTGATGGCAGGACTGGGGATGAGAGTTTGCTTGGGCCTGAGTTAAGTTCAGAAGAGAGGCCTGAGCTGTCTCAGGAAGATTCACAAGGCCACATTATTGAGAGAGGCCCTTCGCCACCTTTCTCAGAGCAGCTGTCTGAGCATGATTTGTCATGTTCAGGAGTTAATGAAGAAGAAGATAATGAAAACTTGGACAGAAAGCAAAATTTTAGTAAACAGAAGCAAAGTCTTCAGAGGCTGAGACAATCAGTTCGGCTAGAGCAAGAGAGATCCGTTAGCTTTTTCCATTTTTGGGGTCTGAAAAAGCTTTATAATGTTTCATGAGGGAGAGTTGCTTCAGTCAGGTCAACCTTATTTTATCACGGTCATGTTTTCAAGCACTCTGAGTTTCATGTACCAAGTTTTTTTACAAGCTCAAGATTTGTCTATGAGATTTTCTTGCTGTCTTGTTTCATGGATTCAAGTGCCAAGTTTCATGGATTTTTATGTACTCATGGATCTTGTTTTCCTGTGACACTTATGGAGTATTTCTTATATTAGATCTTTACTGTTTTTGTTGTTTTTACTGCTTTGCTTAAATATAATCTTCAATAAACTTCTTGCTGATTTTACCAAACTGGTGTGGTGTTTAAAGTCAGAGGTATTCCTGCTCTGGAGCATAACAGATGAGGGAATTGATGGGTTTCAAAATGAAGAGACATTTTGATAGAATCCATGAAAAGTCCTTGAAGTCTAGGTGCATTCGGCATGATCTCATGGCTTCTTGGTCGGGCTTAAATTAAGTGGTGTTTACTTTGTACCTCTCAGAGGAGATAACAATGCCATAAGGATGGTATTCCTGTCTCAAGTTTCCTTTATTTGCCTTTGTTCCTTGAAGGGTTTGCCTTGGAAAAAGTTTATGTTTATGTTTGAATGACCACTGTGGATTTTCGCTCTCTTCATGTACTTTGCCATTTTTTAATTGCTTCTATTTCGTATTTTCTGCTCTACCGCATTTTTGGAAAATGCCTTTTTTTCCCTTTGTACATGCTTTTCTTAATAAACTGTTGTAGTTAATACTATTGGACTCTGGTGTGGTGCTGAGTGAAAAATTGTCTCCAGGCTAGAGTGCAACATCCTGCTTAATTGCCTGACGTTTCTCCTGCATCTATGGCAGGTATCCTCACACAGTCTGAGGATGTCTGCCATAGATGCAAACAAAACTTCGGGAGAGAATGCTTCTGGAACATGGCCATACAGCCCGAAAAACTTACAACAACCCAGTGATTCTGGCCATGAAAGTCTTCAACAATACAAAGATATATTTGTTTGTTTTCAAAGGACATTCTCTGTTAATGGGCAAGCATTTAGAAAGATTGGCAATTAAGCAGGATGTTGCACTCCAGCCTGGAAACAATTTTTCACTCAACACCACACCAGATTCCTCAAATTGCTCTTGACACGAAAAATAAAAAAAACTTGGGGACAGGACGTTTGAAAGAGAATCTTTTCCCTTATGAGCCTGCCCAAAGTTTGAGATTTTCAGCAAAAGCAAGATAGTGGATTGAGAGAGGGCTTTTAAATAGCAGCACCCTGGTTGTGGAAGTCATTCCCAATTAAAATTAAGGTGACCCTATTCTTGTGTCACTTTCCACAGGAGGGTAAAGAAATTATTCTTATAGAATTTTGGGTTTTTAAGCTGCTGCTCTTTTGGAAGGTATATTTTATTGTCAATTGCTTTGAGAGTCCTTGTAGGCAGAAAATCATTTAGAAAGGTATACTTTTTTTATAAAATGGAGGCATCTCTAAAGAGGTACTTAATTTTTATTTGTTAGCATCGATGAGGGCACTATTTTGGGGCCTAAAAAGCCAAAGTGAGGGGGAGTCGGGATTTTGAAGACGGCTATTGGAGGAGAGAAAAGGGTTCAGGGGAGGGGGGTACCCAACACACTGCGATCTTTCTCCTAACAGGAGTTCAGCAGTTGCTGTTTACACTTTTAAAACACCAGAAACCATAAGCGGTTTAATGGTAGGAGGTCCTGAATAAGTGGCAAACCAAGGAGGGAAATGAAAGGCAGGATTAAGAGAGCAGGAAATAGGAGCAACTGTGGGGGTGATATGGGTGGGGACGGATAGGATTAAGGCTATGTTGTTTAGCCCATTTCTGAAATTGACTGCTTTTTAATGCCTAAATCCAGTTGCTAGTCCCAAGTACAATAGATGCACTGAATAAGTAGGATTTACATAAAGGTTGGCTTATCATTCACCAACTGATTCTATAACTCTATTCCGGTTGGAACTAGTAATTGGATTTAGGCCATGGTGATTTTTTACTTTATAGAACGTACTCCCCAAATATCCTGTTTCACTTCCACAGAGGGAAAGGGGGGCTCATGTGCACAGAATATATACACAACCCCTTTCCTTTCAATTATAAACGTCATCCCTGTTTCTCTGAATTCTTGTACCTATTGCCATTATTTTGCTATTCTTTCTCAGGGGTGAGAAGGGTGGGGTACAAATGTGTGGAATAAATAATAAGAACTTCTACTAGTTCCTCCTTTTTTGCTCCTTAGTCCCTTAGCAAGCATTCACTTCCCTGGTGAGTGCAGTAGAAAATGTTCACACTTACTTACTTATTTACTTACTTACTTACTTACTTAGGCGATCCCTCGTAGTCCGAGGATGATGGTCCTCCAAGAGTCGTAACCTGGAGGTGGGTCCAGAGGTGACTGTGGAGCCCTATTCTTGACCTGCATCTTCTCCCACAGGGCATCGGTTTTCAGGTGGGAGGAGGTCCCTGTCGGGGTTGGCTTGACGCGCCTTCCTCTTGGCACGTTTCTCTCTTTTGCCCTCCATTCGTGCCTCTTCAAATTCTGCAGCACTGCTGGTCACAGCTGACATCCAGCTGGAGTACTCAAGGGTTCCCAGTTCTCAGTGTCTATGCCACAGTTTTTAAGGTTGGCTTTGAGCTCATCTTTAAATCTCTTTTCCTGTCCTCCAACATTCCGTTTTCTGTTCTTGAGTTCGGAGTAGAGCAACTGCTTTGGGAGATGGGGTCGGGCATCCAGACAATGTGGCCGATCCAGCAGAGTTGATGGCTGAGGACCATCGCTTGGTCTTTGCTTCTTCCAGCATGCTGACGTTTGTCCGCTTGTCTTCCCAAGAGATTTGCAGGATTTTCCGGAGGCAGCGCTGATGGAATCGTTCCAGGAGTTGCATGTGACGTCTGTAGACAGTCCACGTCTCGCAGGCATAGAGCAGGGTTGGGAGGACAATAGCTTTATAGACAAGCACCTTGGTATCCCTACGGATGTCCAGTCCTCAAACATTCTCTGCTTCATTCGGAAAAATGCTGCACTAGCAGAGCTCAGGCGGTGTTGTATTTCAGTGTCGATGTTGACTTTGGTGGAGAGGTGGCTGCCAAGGTAGCGGAAATGGTCAACACTTTCTAATGTTACACCATTAAGCTGTATCTCTGGCATTGGAGAGGGGTTGGCTGGTGACTGCTGGAACAGCACTTTGGTTTTCTCGATGCAATGACAGGCCGAGCTTCTCGTATGCTTCTGCGAAGGTGTTTAGAGTGGCTTGCAGGTCTTCTTCTGAATGCGCACAGATGACGTTGTCATCAGCATACTGGAGTTCTATAACAGATGTTGTTGTAACCTTGGTTTTGGCTTTCAGTCTGCTGAGGTTGAATAGCTTGCCATCTGTCGGATAGATGATTTCCACTCCAGTGGGAAGCTTCCCGTCAACAAGATGAAGTATCATAGCGATGAAGATGGAAAACTTACTATAAAAATATGTGAGAGTTGCAGCTTACCATGAGTATAACATCAGTGCTAGGGTCTAAATCAGGACTCCCCAAACTAAGGTCCGTGGACCAGATGCGGCCCTCCAAGGTTATTTACCCAGCCTTCACCCTAAACTTTAGACTTCGGGTCAACCTAAGTCTGAAATGACTTGAAGGCACACAACAACAACAACAACAACAACAGTCCTAATTAACTATCTCATCAGCCCAAATGAGTGGGACATAATTTTATCTTGACGAACTGGCTTCTATGTATTTTAGTCTATATGTATTTTAATTTATTGTTGATGTACAATGTTTTAGATTGTATTGTTAGCATTGAATCCTTGCTGTTAGCCGGTCTGAGTCCCTAGAGAAGATTGGGATATAAAAGTTTAAAATCAATAAATAAAACAGCTATTGAAATACTGGTAAGTTTATGTTAGTTAAAATTGTTCTTACTTTTAAATATTGTGGTGTTGTTTTTTTGAAAAGAAAATTTGCATTGCAAATAAGATATGTGCAATGTGCATAGGAATCCGTTCATGTTCTTGTCAAACTATAGTCCAGCCCCCCAACAGTCTGAGGGACTGTGAACTAGCTTAACAAGTTTGAGGACCACTGGGCTAAATGCTCAGTACAGATAGATTACCTATATCCTTGTAGAGAACTTTACTTACTAGAATAGCTGGCATTGCCCCCACCCTCCCCAATATGTGACAGGAAGTTGCTGCTAACTATGGGAGAAATAAGGTTGAATACTATGAAGCCATCCACTGCATTGCTGTCAGCCTCCCCCCCCCCTCCCCCAGTAGACTCAAATCAAGGAAAATCTTCATGAGAACCACCACTCCTCTTAATGTTCACCCAGCAACAACAAGAGTATCCCTCTGGGCAGCAAAACTAGTAAATCCTGATTGGATGGCCTACCATGAGAGTGTGCTTCCAAGGGCAAACCAAAAACGGGCAACTTGGAAGTCCCCAAACAGACTCAGAAGTGCAGTGGGCAGATCAAAAGACAACTTGGCAAAATGGCACTAACTAAAAGAATTTTCCATCTTGTCTGACTGTGGAGCAGAACAAACAACTCAACATCTTTATGCTTGTCCACAATGCCCTTCCTCATGTACATAGGAAGAATTGCACCGGGACTGTGGCACAGCTGGCTGGGAGTCAGCTGCGTTAAGATCACTACTGACCGAAAGGTCATGAGTTCGAAGCCAGCCCGGGTCGGAGTGAGCTTCCGACCAAAATTGTGTAGTTTTTGTCAACCTTTGCAGTCCAAAAGACAGTTACATCTGTCAAGTAGGAAATTTAGGTACCACTTTTGTGGGGAGGCTAATTTAACTAATTTACGAGGCCATAAAAATCTCCAGCAAGCATGTGGGGAATGAGGAAGTCAGTGTCACAGATGGATGGTGAAGCGACAGCTCCCCTGGTGGCCAGAAAAAGTTGGAATGTTAAATAGCCTCAGACTGTCTGTCTGTATGTGTTGTGGTTTCTATGGCATTGAATGTTTGCCATGTATATGTACATTGTAATCAGTCCTGAGTCTCCTGTGGGGTGAGAAGGGCAGAATATAAATACTGTAAACAAACAAACAAACAAATAATTGTTTAAATCTACAGAAAATGCAGTCGCTGTTGCCCGGATTTGGTCAAAAATAATTCAGCCACTTGTGCTCCTATTTTATCAGTTTTATACTTATGTAAGCAATGTTTTTGACACAAAATAAATTAATAAACCAGAATAGTAACCTGTACAATGACCAAAAAAGCAGGTTGTGATGGCATATGCCATAACTCACTAACAGGATGCCAGCTATTGGGTTCTTTTGGATTTTTACCCTGTTGAGAAAGTTGCTAGATTTAGTGACGCCAACATCTCTTTTAATAGGTCAGAGATGATCTACCGAGTGGAAGAAGCAAAACATGAGATGGAATCTCGCTTAGATTCTCAAAGGAGGCATATGGTGCAAAAAGAGAGCCTTTTGCAAAATGAAATTGAAGAGTTAAAGGTATTGTTTGTATTATTGTTTGCTCAGTGGTTGTCTTGCTCCTCAGGGTTGTTGACTTACACACAAAATGTTTATTTTTTGGGGGGCAGTCCATTTTAGACCCAGGGGAGGCATTTTTTTTTCTAAAAGGCAGCATACAGGAAGTAGATATCCAATAGATAAAGTCAGACATATATTTACATATTTTAAACACACACCTCAGGCTGGGACTCTTCCCCCCTCTGTTTGTGCTTTTCAGAGTCAGGTGTCTAGAATGATGTCCGACATACAGACGCTGATGTCGACAGAAAGGCAGCACCGTCAGCAGCTGGAACAGGCTGAGCTGGAGAAACGGGAACTGCTGGAGTTAATGAAGGGTCTCCAGAAAGACTACCGATTGACTAGGGATGGAAGCAAGAAAGCAACAAACCTCCGACCTCTGACACGACTGGAAAGTTTGAAACGCAAGCCCCGGGAGGTGACTGTCATATGAGCAGAAAGCACTTTTCAAACACTTGTTTTTGGTGAACAGCTGGAACAACTGGAATTCAAAACCCTCCTCAATCTGTATTTGAACTTACTACTGGAGAGAAAAGCTGATAAGAAAAGCTGATAAGAAAAGCAACTTAAATCTATACCTAAATAAGGGTCTAAGTACCTTGGTGCTAGATTTTGTAGGAACATCTTGAGTTCTTTGGGTTAACTTCCCTTTGTTTATTTCCTCTCCACTTAGAATAAGTTGTGGAGGATAGCACTTTTAGGATTTAACTGTTTCAGGGAGTAAATTAGTAATTTAATGTGTGAGGATTTTTGTATTTTTTCTTACATAAATGTGTAACAAAACTTGTATTTCTATTGTAGGCAGTTGAGACTTTCCCCACCATTATAGACAAAGTACTATGGTTTAAGGACCCCCTGGTGGCGCAGCAGGTTAAACTGCTGAGCTGCTGAGCTTGCTGACCGAAAGGTCGGTGGATCGAATCCAGGGAGCGAGGTGAGCTCTCATTGTTAGCCCCAGCTTCTGCCAACCTAGCAGTTTGAAAACATACAAATGTGAGTAGATCAATAGGTACCACTTCTGTGGGAAGGTAATGGCGCTCCATCCATTCATGCCGGCCACATGACCTTGGAGATGTCTACGGACAATGCTGGCTCTTTGGCTTAGAAATGGAGATGAGCACCACCCCTCAGACATGACTAGACTTAATGTCAGGGGAAACCTTTACTATTACTATGATAAAGTCGCAGATTTATGAACCTTTTTAGTGCAAGCATTATAGGAATAAAGCCATAAAATAATTTTGCAAACAAAAACAAAAAACAACCTTTTTAGTGGTGCATTCACTAGGTGATGAGTGCTAAGTTTATAGCTCCAGGTAATTAAAAAGCTACCTCAACTACTATAACAGAAGTAATTTGTTAATTTCAAAATAAAATATTTTGTTTTGCAACACAGGCTTATGAATCAGAGCAATAATCCATTTTGACCAGGTTATTTAGCTTTCATCTAAATAGAGAATACATCTTGGAAGTGCCTTTTTAACATAATAAACATTTGGTGGCTAGACAGATAAACAAGCCAAAGATTTTGTGGCATGCTAGCATTGAAGATCTGTATTTGAACTTACTACTGGATCTTATCTTTTTCAAATCAAGTCATACTGCCGAGGATCAGATAGGAACTTATATGCAAACATTCTTTATTCCTGTGTTGCTGTGAGTTTTCTGGGCTGTATGGCAATGAACTTTGTCTGTTTGGGGCAAGTGTGAATGTTTCAATTGGCCACCTTGATTAGCATTGAATGGCCGGTTGGTTGCTGCCTGGCCGGGGGGGGGGGGGGGGGGGGGGGGGGGGGGGGGGGGGGATCCTTTGCTAATCAAGGCGGCCAGTTGCAATATTTATTTTATTTATTATTTATTTATTTATTTATTACTGCGCTTGTATACTGCTGTTTCTCAGCCTACATTGGCGACTCAACGCGGTTTACAACACTACAATAATCAACAATATTCAATATTCCCACTTGCCTCAAGCAGACAAGAGTACCATTATTCCACAGATACATAAACCTCACTCGCCTAGTTTCCAACAGACCTCACAACCTCTGAGGATGCCTGCCATAGATGTGGGCAAAATGTCAAGAGATAATGCCTCTGGATCATGCTCCTATAGCCCACAGCAACCCAGTGATTCCAGCCATGAAAGCCTTCAATAACACTCTTCGTTCCTTTTACTAAAACATGTTGGTTGTTCAAGCTCTTCCGTTAAATCAGTCCTATGGTTGTTTTCATTATTATTATTATTATTATTGCAATTATGTCGTTTTTGACTAGAAGTGGCACAATGTTTAGTTCTAGTCCTGAAGAATAAACACCTAAGTTACATAGAGATGTTTATGTCTTCTTAAACAATAGCATGAAATCTTACCACCACCAGCTTAAATGAAGTTACGATATTCCTAATAGCCATAAATAGTTAAGTCGTGGTATTGTTAAGTCTGGAATATCAGTATGTAAAGGGATCCTGTAGCAGTTTAGAGACCGAGAAAAGGCTGGTAGCGAAAGCTTTCATGAACTCCTCACATTTGTGAAGTAATGAGAACAGACATTTATAGACAGACTGTATGTATGAATTCTCAAAGAAATGCAAAACTAGGCATTTCAGACCATGTATCTAAAGTAGTAGACTTAATTTATGAAAGCTTATGGTCTCAATTTCTCTGTCTGTAAGGCACTACAATATCTCTTGTTGCATATATACATTTTTAAGACTCCCAAGGCATTTTAGACAGCATTGTACAACTGTAAGGTGTTTTCTCCTGTCGTAAGGACACTGTCAAGCAATCCTGTGGCTAGCCAGCTTTCCCACTACTACAAGTGTCAATAATGTGTTTCCATTGTATGCTGAATCAGGTGTGTCAGAATGGGAAAACAGTGGTGCAAAGTAGCATTTTTAGATTAACATGTCTTTTACTAATTACTACCAAGTGTCATAGACTGAAATTACAAGATATAAAAGAATTGTGACCATTTTTGGAGATGCTAAATTGCTAGAAAATAATGTTTGCAAGCTAATAAAGTGTTAACGTAGTGCCTATGTATGTTGCTTTGGACATAGGAATTATAGAATCAGAGTTGGAAGAGACCACAAGGACCATCTCATCCAACTCCATACTATGCAAGAACACCAATCAAACCACCCCTGACAGATGACCATCCGGCCTCATTTCAAAACTTCCAAAGGAGGCTCCATCACACTCCAAGGCAGCATATTCCACTGTCAAACAGCTCTTGCAGATTTTGCTTCAGCATCAGACATGGAGGGTTTACAAAGACAGAAATCCAGTCTTGATGCAGCTCCACCTGAGATGCTCCTTCCCTCAATAGCCAGCAATCATTGCTGAATCCACTGGAAGAAGCAACAGTACTTATCCCAGTCAAGGGATCTCAAATTATGCATGTAAAGGAAAAGAAGCTTACACTGCATTTTATATAGTATCTACTTCCTATTGCTTCTCTGTCTTCAGTATATTTAAATTAAACTTTTGGGGGCAAGTGACTCAGATAAAAGGTAGTAAGGGAAATGTGTAAGCACTTCTACTAATCTGTCTAAACAAGCAAACATTATAAGGGGCAGATAAAAATGTACACTTGGTGGGGAGAAGCACAGCAGACCACAAGTTGGATGTAAAAATATGACAAAGATGGCATCATCAATGTAGGTTTTTCTGTATACATTTCACTTTGAAATAGGAATAGTTATTTCCAGTATTTTTTTATTCGGGGCAAATGTATTTCCTCATGGTGAAAGCAATCTTTTGCAAGTTATTTTTATTACCATTCTGCAAATTAAGGAAGGTCAGTGCAGTCAACAAGTCTTGGGTGACAGAATTTGTTCCTGCAATGGTCCTATCCAAGCACCAGAATAAGTAAATGGGAATATTATGACCTGTGGGACATGAGCTGTATGTAGCCTTCCAAGGTATTTTTGCACGCAGACATTTCTCACGTTTTAAGCCCACTGAGGTGTTTTTCCAACACAGGAAATGAGTGGGTACATCTGATTTTGAAAAAGGGACTTGTAAAGCCTAAAACAGGTCAGGGGCAATGGTCAACTAAACCCTCTTCCAACCTCAGGGATACTTCTGGCCATTTTTGGTGGAGTGGAGGAGCAGCATGTTACCCCACAATTTGCCTCCTCACTTTTTGTGCTGGAACTGGATAGGTCCCAGTTCCTTTTGTTAGGCTGCCTCACCTTCAGTTTTAGAGTAGTCACTTTTATGTTAGTTTTATGAGGGTGGAGTTTAAGAAAACCCTTCCTGGTTTGTATCAGAAAGTTTGCCCACCCCTTTGCCTGAAGAAAGGGAGCCATTTCAGATTAGAATTATTACCACCAGGGAATCTTGGATGCAAGATGTGTTTGCAGTTTCCCAGCGAGATCCAGGCTTGGACAAGCCATTTCAAGTCAATTTCAACCAATAATCAGTTAACCAATAACGAATTAGCACCTTGAGCACCTGAGGCCCCTATACCAGAGTCAGCAAGCAAGTCTTCTCAGGAAACATCCACGACTGGCAGCTTCAGGAGTTACCGTTCAAATTTTAAGGTATGGACTTTGTTGTGTGGAAAAGGGTGTAGACAGACCCAAGACCACTTAATAGCGTCGCAGATGGACGATGAAAGTGACAGCTCCCCTGGCGGCCAGAAAAGTTAAATAGCCTCTGTCTATGTCTGTATATGTTGTATGTCAAAATTGGCATTGAATGTTTGCCATATATGTGCACACTGTAATCCGCCCTGAGTCCCCTGCGGGGTGAGAAGGGCGGAATATAAAAGCTGCAAATAAATAAATAAATAAATAATAAACCATTACCGTTTCTCAAAAGAAATAGAATCCTAGAGTTGGAAGAGACCTTGTGGGCCATCCAGTCCAACCCCCTTGTCAAGAAGCAGGAATATCACATTCAAAGCACCCCCAACAGATGGTCATCCAGCCTATGTTTGAAAGCCTCCACCACACTCCAGGGCAAAGAGTTCCACTGCTAAACAGCTCTCACGGTCAGGAAGTTCTTCCTTATGTCCAGGTGGAATCTCCTTTCTTGTAGTTTGAAGTCACTGTTCTGCGACCTAGTCTCCAGGCAGCAGAAAACAAGCTTTCTCCTTCCTCCCAATAGCGTGGAAATGGATTTGGTGGGGTTCCTTGCCCAAACAGGAAGGCAATCCAGCATTCCCCAAGCTGACAGAAAGTTAGGACACTTTAATGCTAAAGAGACATTTCAAAGCAGCTTGGGTACAGCTGCACACTCTTTTCCTCATAAAGAAACTGTAATACAACCAAACAGTCCAAGAAAGGAAAAGTAACTTCGGCTCAAGCTTTGTTTTGTTTTTTTTAAAAAAAGAATATTTATAGGTCTAAGGCAGCATCTGATCCAAATACAAAAGTCCAAAAGGGGGGAAAGCATACTGATGATAATTTTGAATGAAAATCTTAAGAGGTTACAGCGCTTGTGAGCATAACAGTTATTACTGAAAGCTAATCTTAAAACACCTACTTTACATGCTACCAAAAACTGATAAGGAATTCTTTGCAACAGGCTTACAGCCCCTGGA